GCATTAAAACGCCAGCCAACTCAGTCGTATGTAGATTTTGCACGTGAAAAGAAAATCGCTTTTGAGAGATGGTGTAGAGCTTCTAACTGTAAATCTATGGAAAATCTTTCCCAGTTGATCCTGCATGAGGATTTCTATAATAATTTACCAGAAGACTTGCATAGATATTTGATTAGTTGCCCCATAGTAAATATACTAGAAATAGCCTCGCTCGCCGATAATTATGAAATATCTCAACAATTGATTGGTGAAACAAAAAGTAAGGAAACAGTGACTAAATATGCCCCTAAGAAAAGATGATCCAATCTTACAGAGATTCGTCACATACAGAATCCTTGCCCGACCTCCTATGTTGCCTCCACACCCATTAATGATAAATTTAGATTTAACTCTAGGAGAAGCTCAAAACCACTAAGGCAGAACAGTGAATTGAACTGCACTTATTGTAATAAAAAAGGGCATTTAAGAAAACACTGTTATTGGCTAGAGAGGGATACCAGGAACGAGCGACTTCGTTTCCCAACTCAGGTAATATCTTCGACAACTCAAAAGAAACTGAACCTTAGTACCGAACAAGGTTCGCAAGAGCGAATCAGTAGTCATTCTAGATGACTCAATACTAGAGCTATTTCAGAACAAGATATTCACTCGGCTATGAGTCCCTACTTTGCTAAAGTGAAAGTTGGGATAGACGAGACTCAATTAGTTGAAGTTAATTCCTTCCGTGATACTGGAAGTTATTTAACCTTATTGAAGCAGGGCATACTTCCCGTAAGTGATATGACTCACACCAAGCTAGATGTGTTATTAGAAGCCTATGGAGGCGCCATTATAAGAGTGCCTCTTCACAGGATATACGTACATCCAAACACCAACCTATACTGGCTTTGTCTCAGTAGGTATATCCAGTGAAACTTTTCCTATTCAGGGCCTGGTCTGGCCTGGTCTCAGACCGGGCCGCGGGGGCGTTGACCCCCGGAACTCTCTCCAGGTAAACTCCAGGTAAACTCATAGGCAATGATCTAGACTATCCGGGTATAAGCCGAGAGCCTCTTATATGGGTGTGAAGCGTGGGTGATGAATGTTGCAGCGAGGAGAAGGCTGGAGGCAGTGGAGATGTCATGTTTGAGGGCAATGTGTGGTGTGAATATAATGCAGAGAATTCGTAGTTTGGAAGTTAGGAGGAGGTGCGGGATTACCAAAACTGTTGTCCAGAGGGCTGAGGAAGGGTTGTTGAGGTGGTTCGGACATGTAGAGAGAATGGAGCAAAACAGAATGACTTCAAGAGTGTATCAGTCTGTAGTGGAAGGAAGGCGGGGTAGGGGTCGGCCTAGGAAAGATTGGAGGGAGGGGGTAAAGGAGGTTTTGTGTGCGAGGGGCTTGGACTTCCAGCAGGCATGCGTGAGCGTGTTTGATAGGAGTGAATGGAGACAAATGGTTTTTAATACTTGACGTGCTGTTGGAGTGTGAGCAAAGTAACATTTATGAAGGGATTCAGGGAAACCGGCAGGCCGGACTTGAGTCCTGGAGATGAGAAGTACAGTGCCTGCACTCTGAAGGAGGGGTGTTAATGTTGCAGTTTAAAAACTGTAGTGTAAAGCACCCTTCTGGCAAGACAGTGATGGAGTGAATGATGGTGAAAGTTTTTCTTTTTCGGGCCACCCTGCCTTGGTGGGAATCGGCCAGTGTGATAATAAAAAAATAAATAAAATAATAATGCTCTCATGGTACTGGATGGTTTCCCACTGCCCCGTATTGATGATTTAATAGACAGAGTATCAGGAGCCGCCCATGTTACCCACCTGGATTTATTAAGGGGCTATTACCAAGTGCCGCTTACCCAGCGAGCCCAAGAAATATCCGCATTTACTATACAAGGCGGATTATTCAATTATCGCGTTATGCCCTTCGGGTTGTGTAACGCGGCCTCTACCTTTCAGCGCCTGATGAACCTGCTGACCAATGATTTAGAAGGAGTGGATGCATATCTAGACAATCTTGTTATATATAGCAATGAATGGGAGCAACACTTAATTCGCCTGGAAACTTTATTTAAGAAGTTAGAAAAGTAAAAACTTCACCATAAATTTAGCCAAGTGTCAGTTTGGACAAGCCAAGATTAAATACCTCGGTTTTTGTATAGGCCAGGGTGAGGTACGTCCTGTTGATGTAAAAGTTCGGGCCATTGCCGAGTTTCCTATCCCTCAAGATAGAAAGTCTGTACGGAGGTTCCTTGGAATGACTGGTTATTATCGACGTTTCTGTCCTAATTTTTCTCAGGTTGCGTCTCCTCTTACTGAATTGACCAGTAATAAGATTAAGTTTTGCTGGTCGAAAGATTGTGAGATAGCTTTTAATCGGTTGAAGCGGTTGCTTTCATCATCACCCGTATTGAAAAGTCCTGACTTTAATCAACCCTTCTATTTACACATTGATGCCAGCGGTTATGCTGTGGGGGCGGTGTTACTTCAGAAATCCCCCTCTACTGATATTTTGCATCCTATATCTTACTTTTCTTCAAAGTTGAAACGTCACCAAAAGAATTACGCCACTGTAGAGAAAGAAGCTCTTGCCCTAGTAATATCTTTGGAACATTTTGACGTTTATCTGGGAACCTCCACCCATAAAATTATGGTATTTTCTGATCACAACTCTTTAATTTATATTAATTCTATGAAATCAAAGAACACCCAGATCCTCAGGTGGGCTCTGAGGATCCAACCTTATCTGATTAGTATTCAACACTAGCGGGACTCTTAACATAATTGCTGATGCCCTTTCTTGCCCCTGAAAAAAAAAATATATATATACAGTATACCTTAAAATGTAAAGTTAAGAGATGAGTACTCTTAGAGCCTAATTTATATATATATATATTATACATGTATACTTTTTGTTAATGATTTTCTTTTATATTGACAGTATGATTATGAAAACCGTTTCGTTGATGGGACGAAGTATTAAGTCCACATGGATGACCCTGATAGTCGTATGTCTGAGACTCCTATTCTCAATTGTGATGGATGCCACCCAGATAGTTCCTTCGGGCCATTGTTCAGAGCTCATCCTCTGGCAATAAACCATCCCGATCGAGTTTCTTTCATCTTCATTCTCCTCGTCGCCTACATGCCTTATTTACCAGAGGACGTTACTATAAAGAAGGGTATTACCGAGAAAAGCTTGCAAACTCCCTACTGCGACCTATTGTCGTACGGGGGGGGGGTGTTATATCTTGGAAATTGGTCATCCTGTGTTATTTAACTATTGTAAGAGAATATGATCATCATTAATATTTTTAGCGCGAAAGTCCCCGTTTATAGCTAAAATAGAGACTTTCGGCATTATATTATTATCTGTTAAAATATAAAAAATACCATGGTATTATCCCTATTTTATTATTATTATTATTATTATTGTTGTTAGGTAGGTTTTCTTATGTATATAGAGCATAAGTCTCGGAACCATCCGGTGAATTGTTCAATTGTATATGTCCGGCTGACTGACGTTTGGGGCAGGTGATCCAACCGACGATGGGTCAACAGACTGGCAGGTAGTCAGTCCGCTCCCTGTTCTAGCCTTGACAACTGATCGTATATTGTTCTCTCTTAGGAGTATACATTTTGAATGGGTTTGAGAATTAGTCTCTAGAGCTGACTCAGTTTGTTCCTCATTGCTCTGAAAGATTGTTTTGATATTTATATTCTTGGTCAGTTCAGTAATCCATAGAGATACGTCTTCTCAGGCAAACTCTTGCCTTCTACTTCCTTTACGGCCGGATTCAAAGGTCTTGTTGAATCTTGTACATTTTGTAGTTTGAGTTTACACAGTCTTGTTAAGACAAAGACGTAAATGTTAGTGAAGACTTAATTACAGAAAGAAAAATTAATCTTCCTTATTAAGGTGATACTTCCATGATTTTGAACTAAATATGTATATTGTAAATTTATTGTACAAAGTATTAAGATATAATATTAGGTACAGAGAAAAGATAAAGTATTGTATTTAAATACTTTAATAAATTTGAATTTTATTCTATGGAGTTTCCCAGTTGAAATTATTTCCCCTAGACTCTAAAATACCTTTAACTAACTCTGATCCAAAATCTTGTTGCCTATGAAGAAAATAGTAACAGACCACATTCTGAAGTTCTTTATAAAATTTCTTATTCGCAACAATCTTCTCTTCTTTTTTCTTAGAGGAATGTGCTTTGAGCATACCTCAAGTGCCACAGAGTTACAGTTCTTTCCAGGCAAAGGTTTTGATCCAAGTTGTTTAGGATATCTTCCAAGCCTGTTTCATTTAGGACATGGTTAATTTGATCCTGCTGTATGTTTTTGTTATTGAAGTTGAATTTGGTGAAGACACCCTCATAACTGATCTCATTTTGCTGGTCAGGAACCCTGTGTATACATGTCTGTATTTCGATTATGTTGTGATCTGAGTGTATTGTTTTTGATACTGTTATATTTCATACAAGATTGTTATCATTAGTGAGATAAGGTCAAGTTTGTTTTCCAGTCTTGTTGGCTCCACTATTTGCTGGCTTAAGGTGAATTTGCTGCAGAGGTTTAACCCTTCAACTGTCCAAACGTATATGTTTGCACCGCTAGTGCTCCAAACGTAGATCTACGTTTTTTTACATTTGAAAGCATGTAAAAAACGTAGATCTACGTTCGGAGTGCTAACGGTGAAAACATAGTTCTATTTGGGGCTGGGGCTGGGGCTGGGGCTGGAGCTGGAAGATTTTCCAGACAATAGTCATTTTTCAAAAGCTGTTCCTTGAATTGTTAAGAAGTTGTATCTGGTGGCTTGTATACAACTGCAATGCCAAAACTTCAACTACTGTATTGCTCCTTGATCCAGTACAATACAACAGTGCTTCTTTTGCTTTTGTTGTATTTTTCTATTTTCCACACACATACTGTACAATTTTTTTATACACATACGTACTGTAAATATCTTATTGCAAAAAATTACATAATTTTGAAATGTATTTGCAGATTGGAAGCAAACCCCAGTGTACGAGATGTGATATCTGATCCTGCATGGATTCCAATACTTGATGAATTTCAACAAAACCCAGAGGCAGCAATGAAGAAATACAAGGACAACAGAGAGATCACAAGCACTTTGAAAGCACTGTGCAATGTCCTGGGTAAGCAGAGAAATCTGTATGTGAAACTGTAGCACTTTTAGTTTTTAACCCTTAAACTGACCAAACGTAGATCTACGTTCACTCACGTAGCACTCTGAACGTAGCTCTACGTTCGGAGCGCTACGAAAGTGGCCGTAGATCTGTGTTTGGACAATTTAAGGGTTAATTGAAACTCTTTTTTTTCTATTTTAAACTTGAAAAGGTTTTATATATGTATAATATACTGTATTCCACTGTATAGAAATACAGTTTGTGTTTGTATGGACCTTTAAAGGCCATTTTTATTGTTTGTTATATTGCTACAAATTGTTTACAGGTAATCCTTGACTGGCCGTCTTTCAACATTTTGATATCCTAGTCACTCCATATTTTATTCTTACATAATGTACCACGCTAATCTTGGCAAAGCGTTCACATGAAAGTGTTTACATCTGGCTATCCCAGCCAGTGAGATGCAACAGAAAGCAGCCATGTCATTGATGACATGGCTGCTTTCTGTTGCATCTCTCTTTCTGAGCACATCTCTTGGTTCCATGGCAGCATCAGTCCTATGCTTGCAGAGCACCATATATGATGCTCTGCTCAATAGAGGGTATTGACATTCATAAAAGAAAAGTTTATTTTGAGTGAAACCCCAAGCTTATTTTTCAATTCAAGAGTTGTGTATCAGACAAACAAATAAAGACAATGAGCATCAAGAAAAGGGTGAATAACCACAGCTATCCACTAATGGGTCTTCTGTAAAAGTTGTATGATCAAATCTCACAGGTTTCATATCTCAGTTTCAAGATATAACTTTATTCAGCCCATGTGTGTTCTAATCTCATATGTTAGTATTGTAACCTATGTACTATACTCAGCATATGCATATATTCATTAACCCATCTCTATTCATCATCATATGTGTACTCGTTATTCTATTTGTGCACTGTACAGCACTGTACTTGCTATTAATATTGTTATAATTGTAATCAGTTTAGGCACTTAACCTCAAAGGGTCATATAGTGCTGTCGGGAAGGATATGCAATAGTAGAAATGTGCATTAGATGGAGAAAGAGGCTAGTGGTATGCAAGGGTGGGGGGGAATGTAAGAGTAAAATTTAAATCATAGTTGGTGCAACTGTACTCATTAACCCATGTGTGTGTACCCATTAAATGAAAATTTGGTACATTTCAGGTGACACATTCCTACACATGAATAGTAGTATCAGAAGTGAAGAGGAGCTTATATCTAGCAGATTAATGGAAAGTCCTCATGTAAAGGAGGCACTTACAGACCCATTTGTGCAGGAGATGATGGTCTTCATGAAACAGGGAGCAAATGATAAAGTTCACAGGTCAGTATTATAGTAATAATAATGATGCAATTATAATAATTTTATTTAAAGAAGTACATATTGCAAAATTAAGTATTTGGTTGTACATTTTTTGAAAAGCCAATAGTGATGCACAGAGTTTTTAGCAGTACACCATAACAATCCCCCTCAAGGTTTCTTAATGCAAGGAATTGGACTTGTCTTTCGCTTTCTTGAATCAAAACTGATTGCCTCCTACTTTCCCCAGGCACTGTATGGCTCCCCGAGGATTGAATACTTTTTCCCTATATTTTTTTTTTTGACACGTTGGCCATTTCCCATTGAGGCAGGGTGACCCAAAAAGAAAGAAAAAAAACCCAAACAGAAAGAAAAAAACTTTCATCATTGTTCAACACTTTTACCATTATTCATACATAATCACTGTCTTTGCAGAGGTGCTCAGATACGACAGTATCTGAGCGCCTCTGTATAATGATGTATGTAATTAATAATCATTATATCATTCCTTCCTGGATTGTAGGTTGGTAGACAGCAACTGCCCAGGGAGGTACTACAGTGGAACCTCAAAAATCGAACGTATCACATACCGAACGTTTCAAAAATAGGACCATTTTTTTTCGGACAAACTGTGACCCTATTATCAAACGCGCCCCTATTTTTGGACCGCCGGGTACGGGACCTGTCTGCCGCCTGCTCTGTCCGCGTCCCCGCACAGGCGCCGTGAGCAGTCTAGCTTTGTTTATGCTTGAGTGAACACTGACCTGCGCTCTCATTCACGCATTTTACAATTATTTCGTTGTGTTTAGTGCTTGTGGGACTGTGAAATAAGCTGCCATGGGCCCAAAGAAACTTGCTAGTGGTACCCCTGTGGTAAAGAAAGTGAGAAACACCATAGATGTGAAGAAGGAAATAATACAGAAGTATGAGAGTGGTGTGAGACTTGTTGAGCTTGTCAGGATGTATGGGAAAAACAAGTCGACCATCGGTTCTATCCTGTCAAAGAAAGAACAAATCAAGGAAGCTGATGTTGCGAAAGGTGTTAATATAGGGAGTGGATGAGGTGCCTTCTTCAAAGATTAAGGAGATTTGTGCCAAGTGGAATGATGTCCAAATGTTTGTGCAAAAGTACCACCCAGAGCAAGCTGAAACAAGCCATCTTTGCAACAAGTTCAGTGACAGAACCATGTCCCATTTTAGGGAAATGTTAAAGAGGCGCCAGAAACAGAGGACTGTGGACAGTTATTTTGTGAGACAGGGGTCCAGTGACTCTCAAGCTGGTCCTAGCGGCATAAAAAGACAGAGAAGGGGAGTAACCCCAGAGAGGGATTTACCTGAAGTCCTCATGGAGGGGGATTCTCCTTCCAAACACTAACCCCAACTCCCTCTCTCCTCCTCCCTATCTTCCAGATGCCATCACCAATCTTCAATAAAGGTAAGTAAAATGTTATTTTATATGTATTACTATATTTTTTTTTTATTATTATCACACTAGCCGATTCCCACCAAGGCAGGGTGGCCCGAAAAAGAAAAACTTTCACCATCATTCACTCCATCACTGTCTTGCCAGAAGGGTGCTTTACACTACAGTTTTTAAACTGCAACATTAACACCCCTCCTTCAGAGTGCAGGCACTGTACTTCCCATCTCCAGGACTCAAGTCCGGCCTGCCGGTTTCCCTGAACCCCTTCATAAATGTTACTTTGCTCACACTCCAATAGCACGTCAATTATTAAAAACCATTTGTCTCCATTCACTCCTATCAAACACGCTCACGCATGCCTGCTGGAAGTCCAAGCCCCTCGAACACAAAACCTTCTTTACCCCCTCCCTCCAACCTTTCCTAAGCCGACCCCTACCCCGCCTTCCTTCCACTACAGACTGATACACTCTTGAAGTCACTCTGTTTCGCTCCATTCTCTCTACATGTCCGAACCACCTCAACAACCCTTCCTCAGCCCTCTGGACAACAGTTTTGGTAATCCCGCACCTCCTCCTAACTTCCAAACTACGAATTCTCTGCATTATATTCACACCACACATTGCCCTCAGACATGACATCTCCACTGCCTCCAGCCTTCTCCTCGCTGCAACATTCATCACCCATGCTTCACACCCATATAAGAGCGTTGGTAAAACTATACTCTCATACATTCCCCTCTTTGCCTCCAAGGACAAAGTTCTTTGTCTCCACAGACTCCTAAGTGCACCACTCACCCTTTTTCCCTCATCAATTCTATGATTCACCTCATCTTTCATAGACCCATCCGCTGACACGTCCACTCCCAAATATCTGAATACATTCACCTCCTCCATACTCTCTCCCTCCAATCTGATATCCAATCTTTCATCACCTAATCTTTTTGTTATCCTCATAACCTTACTCTTTCCTCTATTCACTTTTAATTTTCTTCTTTTGCACACCCTACCAAATTCATCCACCAATCTCTGCAACTTCTCTTCAGAATCTCCCAAGAGCACAGTGTCATCAGCAAAGAGCAACTGTGACAACTCCCACTTTGTGTGATTCTTTATCTTTTAACTCCATGCCTCTTGCCAAGACCCTCGCATTTACTTCTCTTACAACCCCATCTATAAATATATTAAACAACCACGGTGACATCACACATCCTTGTCTAAGGCCTACTTTTACTGGGAAATAATTTCCCTCTTTCCTACATACTCTAACTTGAGCCTCACTATCCTCGTAAAAACTCTTCACTGCTTTCAGTAACCTACCTCCTACACCATACATCTGCCACATTGCCCCCCTATCCACCCTGTCATACACCTTTTCCAAATCCATAAATGCCACAAAGACATAAAACAAATACTGTATTATAGTTTTTAATTATGTAAAACTGTAATTAATCTCTATAAAATGTATTTTTTGTGTGAATATTTTTGAGTTTCTGGAACGGATTAATTGTATTTCCATTATTTCTTATGGGAAATATTGCTTCGAATTTCAGACTTTTCAAATTTAGAACTAGCTCCTGGAACGGATTAAGTTCGATTTTTGAGGTTCCACTGTACTGTCCTGCCAAGTGAGTGTAAAACAGAAGCCTGTAATTGTTTTACATGATGGTAGGATTGCTGGTGCCCTTTTTTCTGTCTCATAAACATGCAAGACTTCAGGTACATCTTGCTACTTATACATGTACTTACACTTCGGTCACACTACACATACATGTACAAGCATATATATATATTGTACATGTATGTACATATATATATATGCTTGTGTATATATACACACCCCTCTGGTGCTATCCTTTGCACTTACTTTCTTAGGACCCATGGTTACAAAAAAGAAACTTGGCAAAATAACTGCACAAAATGCAAGCAAAACACAAGAAAAATGCTTCCACAGTGAGGTAAACAGTGCACTGCGCCAACTAGTGGTGGCGTTCTGAAGCTCCTCATTATTATTATTATTATTATTATTATAATAATTATTATTATTATTATTAACTTAGGGAACTGGAGCACAGATCCAATTTTCTAGATCAAGAGTGCCTCACCAGCATCAAGGTTCCTTGACACTGGTGAGGAGCTCTTGATCTAGGGAACTGGATTGTGCTCCAGTTCCCTAAATTAATAATAATTATAAAAATAATATAATAATTATTAATAATGAGTGAGCTTCAGTTCCCTAAATTAATAATAATAATAATAATAATATAATAATTATTAAGAATAATGAGTGAGCTTCATTTCCCTAAATTAATAATAATTATAATAATAATAATGAGCTTCAGAATGCCGCCACTAGTTGGTGCAGTGCACTGTTTACCTTGTAGTGAAAGCATTTCTCTCGTGTGTTGCTTGCATTTTGTGCAGTTATTTTGCCAAATTTCTTTTTTCTAACCATGGGTCCTAAGAAAGTAAGTGCAAAGGACAGTGCTGAGAAGAAAAAAAAATGATGTCTATTGAATTAAAGCATGAAATCATAAACATGAGCGAGGTGTGCAGGTTGTGTTGTGAAGTTTACGAGGCAGTACGAGCGTAGTACTTCTACTACGCTGGTACTGCCTCGCATTAAGAGTGTAGCAATTAGGTTCACCGATAAAGTGTAGCATTAAGAGCACAGCAAGTAGCCTATCTTTTCCACCCTCTACCTCTGCAAGCGTACCTACACTTTATAAAACCAGTTTATTTCTTTACATTCTCTATTATGTTTTATAATGTTTTTATAGAATATTTCTTATTTAAAAATACATTGTTTCAATGTCTTCCTTAAGAAACTAGTGATCTAGTGCAGTTAGCCTCACAAACACTGTTTTCTCTTATAATAAGAGCATGGGAAGAGATGGTCTGAGCGAGAGTGAGAATGGTCGCCACCACTAGTAACATAATACATTTTATTCATTCTAGAGTAGATATCATGTTTCTATGTCATTTATATTGTTTATTATGTCATATTAGATCAGTTGTGATAGATAAATAAGCTGTACAGTTAATATTAGCGCTATATTGAAGTATTTTGTCCTGCCTCCCGAGAGCAGGAATTTTGCTGGAACAGATTAATGATATTTCATTTAATTTAAATGAGGAAAACTGATTTGATATACTGTATGAGCAAATTGAGTTACAAGCTAGGTCATGGAACGGATTAAACTCGTAAGTCGAGGTTCCACTGTATTCTGTCAAGTATATCCAAAGTGGCTAAAGACAGTTAGTTACTTTTTTTATTACTGTACACATATATTTATTTGAAGCACTAAACCCATGTGGGTAATTTAGTACAAGGAGTGGTGCAGGCTCACTCTTCCATACACTAATTATCAGGCAGATTCTTATATCGCCCCTCCTTCCCCTTACTGTACTTTGCAAGACAGATGCACTCTGTGGTCAGGTTGGATGTCTACAAGGAATTATTATATTTATGGGAATTACATCAACATCCTTCAATTAAACCTGATTGCCTCCCATTCCCCTAAGGATTATAACTTCCATAATTTTTTATTTTTACCTCAGTGGCCATCTCGTGCCAAAGCAGGGTGACCCAAAAAAAGAAAACAATCCAATCCCTTGGCCCAGAAGCCCCTTACCAGCACCAAGAAACCTCCCTTGAAAAAATTCTGGGGACTAACATCTCTCAGATAGTATGACATGGCTAGCCTTGTCAGTATCATATATCTTTGATCTAGTCTCCGAAAAAAGAAAATCTTTGGCATGAAACACAAATAAAAAATTTCCACCAGCAGTGTACCAAAGGATTAAAAAATGCAATGAAAGCAAAAGATCAAATGACCAGATATTGATGTGTTATAGTTTTGAAGTTATCTAGTAAAGCTCATTGAATTGTGCATTTTATTGCTCTATATGACCCTTGTAGGTTTAGCTCTTTTCGCTTATAATAATACAGCCTCTCCTCAACGACAGAGTTCTGTTCTTAAGACCACGTCAGTAAACAAATGCATCGCTAAGCAAGGAGCATACTGGAATGGTAGTGGGTTTGTGTCAACTATCTTTGATATTGTTTTAATGTCTTCTTACCATTTATAAAATTTTTAGTGTATTTTTAAATGTCTATACTGTATAGACACACTAAACTACATCATTTAGGTATGCATACTGGTCAGAGAGCCCGTCGTAAGTCCGAGTCATCAGTAAACGAGTACGTTGCTAAGTGAGGAGAGGCTGTAATAATATGCTTTATATTCATTCTTTTCCACGCTTGTTTTCTTTGGTGAAACTAATCATTGTAATAAATAACAAAAAAAGGCACAATACCGTGACTGGAACGATACACAAATAACCCACACATAAAAGAGAGAAGCTTACGACGACGTTTCGGTCTGACTTGGACCATTGACAAAGTCACACTAACCAGAAGTGGAGCAGGACACATGTGCGGCACCTGGTTGTCTTTGTTGTGGACATTTCGCCATTCAGTGGCTGGCTGGATGGCAAAACGTCTACGATAGGGATGCCCAGGTGTTGGACATGTGTCTTAGTTTCATCTTGCCGGTATTATATACCATTCTTGTACTACTACTACTACTACCACCACCTCTTCCTGCCTATATATAGCCGTCCTGCTCCACTTCTGGTTAGTGTGACTTTGTCAATGGTCCAAGTCGGACCGAAACGTCGTCGTAAGCTTCTCTCATTTATGTGCGGGTTATTTGTGTAATCATTGTAATAATTGTAATAAATAGAATAAAGGAAATCAGCTCTTGACTTTTTTTTTGTGTGTTCTTTTAATCATTCATAGAATTATGTACACACAAATTAAGTGTTCTATACAGAAAAAATAGTGGCATCTTAATTTTTTTCATTACAGATGCTTCCAGTCAGCAAATCAAAGTCAAAAGAAAAATATTCAGACACTGATAGATGTTGGATTGTTTGCATTTTCAATGTAACATGCTTAAGGGTCTATGACTTTTATTATAATTTGGAAAATAAATGCAGAACATATGGTAGATGGTGCAAAATACCTCTGGTGTAAAGCAGGTATGTAGTAAGTATACCCAAAGATATTGTACCAATAACCCATTCATGTAGGTTTTCAGATATAAGAATAACCATTAGAGCCTTATCATCAAGGGAAAACTCTGAGTTCCTCCAGACTATGCCTGATCAGCTAGCCTATACTGAATTACATGCTGCTAGCACCACTTACCTAGGCCATCAGTCAGGAGTAGGGGGTCATCCTAGGAAAGGCTGGAGGAAGGGGGTAAAAGGTTTTGTGTGCAAGGGGCTGGGACATACAGCAGGCACGCTTGAGCATGTTAAGATAGGAGCGAGTGGAGACGAATGGTTTTTGGGATTTTATGAGCTGTTGGAGTGTGAAGGGAATCAGGAAAACTGGTTAGCCAGACTCTAGTCCTGGAGGTGGGAAGTACAATGCCTGCACTTTAAAGAAGGGGTTTGAGATATTTGCTATTTAGAATGACATCTTAATTGTCATATCTGCGTGCCACTGTAAAGACCTTGATTATGTGTGAATGATGGTGAAAGTGGTTTCCTATTTCTGGGTCACCCTGCCTTGGCAGGAGATTGTGTGAATGTATGTGTGTGTGTGTGGGGGGGGGGGGGATTGGAAATCCATACAAACTAAATGCTGTACTTGTGGAATCAAGGAGTAATCATTGCAGACAAAAATCCTTTGATGGTGTAGGATATGTAGCTGATTTTCCAGATACTGTATTGTAATACAGGGGACACTTGCCAGATTTATTAAGCATTTTTACAGCAGTTATATGTACTTCTTGCAGCCATCCTCCACATTACCCCTATCTGCTTCCCTTCTTGTAGTCTCTGACTTCAAAGTGTATTGCAAGCTACTCAAGAGCTTTGCTTCCCAAACTCTCCATTGGAAATAATCACCTTTATTAAATATAATCTATCTAAAAGGTTAGACATTTTTCTTTCAATAACTGGCTTTAAGTGCATCAGAATATCTTAAAATACAAACATGAATGAATGAATTAATCAAAAGAAAAAATCCTTAAATGACAAGCCAAAGAATGATAGGCTAAAGAAAATAATGAATGACTGAACCAGAGGTTGGTAACTTTTATTAATAAATAACAATAATTTAATGCCAAACATGTGGGGGGAAATGAGCAAATTGCCAACCTTTACTACCCACTTAATATTGATGTTTAACAGCTGCCGAGGCATGATTCTGGTACTGTACTATTTTTTTTTTTTTTTCTTCTGAAGTTTGTGAAAGACTAGGCATGAACACAACAGAGGCTTCATGTATGATCTGTATATCTGATGGAAACTTGGATGGAATTATCCTGTATTTACAGTTAGCACAGGTAACTAACTACATTTCTTTGCAATAAAAAGATGCAACTAACTCCTAATACCATTTATGAAAAAAAATTGAACTGCAATATCCATCATACTAAAACCTTATTTGTGTCACACATGCTTACAGGTGACAAGGTTATCATAAAAATTATAAATATGAATTAAACCATATTAAAAATAATTACATAATAAAGAAGTCTGGCCTCATGCTGGCCTTCAAGAATAGAATAAAACTTAACAGGTAGTATGTTGTACCACAGTTCACATACAATTTTAATCTTGCTACATAATACTAGTGAAAAACCTGGTAATACTGTATGTGGAATTTTATCCTCACCCCAAGATTATAATACTATATTGCTTATGTTTGTATTGGTGTAATGCTGAAACCTTCCAGATTCATTCCTCTGTATAACCAATGCTTTTAGGCATCTTACTCAACACAAGGTGTATTGAATACATTACAACAGACTACACATTTGATGCTATTATATGTTCTGCAATCAATCATATTTGTTCTTAATCATTTGGATATCATGTAAGGTTTCAGCCATATAACTAACATGCTGTTGAAGTGTTGTAGGCAACATCAATGAAGGAGGTTCATTATTATTATAATCAAAAAGAAGCGCTAAGCCACAAGGGCTATACAGCGCTGCTGAAGGAGGTTCAGATAACTAGTTACCTGGATTTAGAACTAGATGTGGAATGTTCAATCCCTGCAATTTGAAAAATGTGTGGGGAATTAGCATTTCTATGAATCATTGGCTGTATAGCCCTTGTGGCTTAGCGCTTCTTTTTTGATTATAATAATAATAATAATAATATGAATCATTGGATTTATGATGTCCATGCACTCCTGGAAAGACAGCTAGGGACAGTGATGGGGAATGCTTTTCCTTCATTGGGTCACCCATCCTTGGTGGGAAAACTTAAAAAATATTACCAGGTTTTACTTCAGTTATCATAATCCTACCTGATTCCAGGTAGGATTCTTTGACTAGAATACCAATGACACACACTACAGCACTATCAATTACACCATTCTGAAAAAAAATGTGTCAAAATATCAATTTCTTCATATTAATAAAACATTAAAATCTAAAACCTAGTAGTATATATTCAGTGGTATTTATGTTTAACCATAACTTACATTAATCCTTTTACTCTCGCTATCCCCAAAATTAAGTGCTAACAGTGTTGCAATTAAAGAAAAATTTATCTTCTGAAAAGGGGTAGAGAATACTTTTTCTGAAGGTAGCGACACCAAAAATGCAAAATTTGATAGAAAATTTATGGAATTACACAAGTGCAAAGTTGGTGGTCTGGGCACAATTTACACATTGGTGATTTCACCTGCCAAGTTCTATTTTAAGCCAATTCCTAGCTATTTCACTAGCACACTTCCGTTCTATTAACTAAACAAGAAGATGCCCATTCAACTATCAGAACTACCTGACAGTGTGCACAGAACTCAATCTGGCAAGCTTTACATAAAATTAACAAAAACACTGTAGGCATTCAAGCCATTAAAGCAACCTTTCCTCTGGTCAATCACATCCCCCAGGCCTCTCGTATATAGCATGCCCTCCATTTGAATACATAAAAAAAAATTATCAAAGTTTTACCTTATTCCTTCAATTATCATCAAAAGCAAGTGCTAAACCCATGGGGGTCATACAGCACTGCTCCTCTGATTAATAAAATATAACCAAGAATGATTGGTCAAGGTTTAATTATAATAATAAAAAAGCACTAAACCTGGTCACGGCTTAAGCCATCCCAATAATTAAAAACCTAGTAAAGACCCACAAAACAGACTGGGATATGTGGCATGCTAGGAGGGCTCCTCAGGAAAATTGCCAAAAACCAAATATTTCTGCCACAGTCTTATTTCAAGTTACTTCCTGTCTGAAATCAGTCAAACTCATGTCTATTTCACTAGTATGTTTTCCATTCTATCAATACTACGAAACAGCCAATAACACCATGAAAACCACCCTAGCTATTTTAAAACAAACACAGGGTTAGATGTTTGCATTTCCCCATCATGCATTGCATGTTGGATATATACTGTGCTGTTGCATTTTCCCATGTCTAGGCCAAAATTTACCACTTACAGCATATCTGAGGAAGCTGTGCTTTAAATGTAGATCTGCATGAGCAACACTACCATCAATGTAAATCTATGTGGAGACAGTCAAAGTGCTAACTTGCCCACCACAACCTGTAAATACTTGAAAATAACAAAAGCTCTTAAAATCTTAGAAGTAGTTAACAATGTTTTAAACTGTTTACTAGTAAGTTAAATAAACAAACAATTTGCCAAGTATAATTCTAATAGATTCTATGAAAATGGTGGGGAGCTAACAGAATCTCTCGAATCCTCCAGGATGCATTTGATGCACATGCTTCTTAGTTTTCTTTCTTCAATTATTGTGATGCCACTATCATCAAAATCTGTTTAAATATTCTAAAGGCAGTAGACATTAATATAAAAACTTAATACAGCATTCCTTCTCCGAGTATTAATTTTTTTTTTCTCCAAAATATTTGGTTTGAGTAATTGTTTTAACAAAGACCATTTATATATTCACAGCTGCACATATAATAATTACATATAATGAAGATCAGCACACAACTGCTTTATTAGTGGACACTAACCTTATATATTTTGTAAGCATTCACAATTAACTTTGCATACATCAAATGTATGCAGTTGTCTTGGCATTTGGAAAACGACTACTGGAATACACAGTGCATAATGGCTGAATATACATTTTAAAATGTTTTTTAGCTGAAAGTTTTCTCCCTATACTCAAAACCATCATTCGTTAATCTTTAATCGTTAATCTCATCCACTTTCACTATTTTCAGTATTCATGAATGAATCAATGAAAATAAGAATGCATATATCCAGGTATATGAATATTAATTACTGCAATAAATGTACATACAGTACAAAGTAATTTCCAAATTGGAGGAATCTTTGACAAACTGATGACTGTTTGTATTACAGGCATTGATGTTTTAGACTAAAATACTTTCGCTTTCCTTAAAAATACTGAACACATCCACTAAGGTAATAATTATACTTTGTGAACTCATTAAGTTTGTACAAAACCTTAGAATTGGGTGTCATTAAGTATAAAATAAATAGTACACTATTTCTTTTTTAAAGTTTTATCACTTGTATTAACACTTTATCCAGCTAAATACTTTAACTTTACTGGCTGCAACAAACAATTTAATATTTACTTTGGTATTCTGGATGAGACATGCTCCAAATGTGAATTAAAAATATCTAAATAGTAGCAAATATACCTGTAATGATGCTGGAGCCCCTAACGATTTTCCACCGCAGAATACCTGACAACTAATTATTACACATATTGGGCATTATAGTTGAGAAAAGGAAATATATGTTCCCCTTTCCCCAACTCTAGTATTTGAACTGTTATACCATGAGTAAACTTATAAAGGCTCCTAGTATATCACATTATCATGGTTTTATTTTTGAAAGAAAAACTCAGGTGCATAGAGTAATTCGCTGGCTTCACAACTGATGATACTTATCTGTCCCTGCAATACAGTAATGCAAAAAAAACTAGACTGCCATGTGAAGGTCTCAAATTATGGTAACCACTTTTTCTATTAGTGATCCATTGTAGACAATTTTTGGTATTCAGAAAGTGACAACCCATGTATTACTTGGAGCATGTTTCATGGAAAACTCATTTAAGGCCACCAAAATCTCTAAATCTTATTCTACCTGATTTTTTCTTATGGACATTTTTAATACTACTGTATTCCAATCATCCTCCGACACTGCAAGGGCTTAAAGTCAACATTCATCATGCAGTTGATGGCATATCAACACACACTAAAACATGTTTGGCAGCTAACATATTCAAGATTTTACTTGCTATGCATTTTATCACTTTCTAAAGATCTTTTAGTAGGACACCACATCATGGGTGCTATCTTAATAATAAAAGGCATCTATTCTGATGGGAAAATGGTATACCAAAAATAAGCTTTTTTGAAATTTTTTTTCAGATATTAGCTGGGTAAAAGGGCATTTGTAAGACGTGGTAGCAAGGGGAGTATTAAAAATATTCCAAAAGACACCTTGACATAAACAATATTTCTGAGAACAGATAGGAGGAATAACGATTACTAGAATTATTTTTTTAATCTTGTGCTCTAGCCAAAGCTGAGGAAAATAAAAAAAATTTACCGATTACTAATGGTTATCAAAGGGTAAACTCTGCTAAAAACTAATTTCTTACATGTTTTATAAAGCACAATCCAAAGATGTGCAAAGTATACAATGTTTAAATCTTTACCAGAGGAAGACAGTTTTAATTAATTCTTTAAAATGCAGCCTTGCAATTTCTTTTCTTTCTTTGTTCTGATGACTTATTGTCTATTCAGAATGCATCTTTGATGTTTTGAAATGGCCGAACTGCTAGGTCCATTGGTAGGCTGTAATTGTATTTATTTAACCTCTCCAATGAACGAAAGGCATCTTCAAAACCTGTAAAGCCAATGAGGTTAATGAATATATGTTGCCATATTCTTATTATACAAGTCTTATAGAATAAAATTACCATTTTCAATCTGAATTAAATTTAATCATAATAGCAATCAATATAAGTGTTTAAAGAATGCCTGAGTGTTTAAGCACAAGAGAAAGCAAGAGAAAAACTGAGAATAGAAATTTCTAATTATACCTGTTTTGCTGACATAGCTCCAAGATTGGTAATAGTTTTCTGTTAACGCTTGAGTCCGGAAGATGAGGCGCAGCCAGATTATCAACTTCTTCTGACTGATGAAAAAATAAATAAAAGAATTTATCATTCCTAACACTATCCATATTTTTTCTACGTATTGCACTGTTAATGTTTTCAACACACCAGCCGTCTCCCACTGAGGTAGAGTGACTCGACAAAATAGAAAAACTTTCAATGTCGTTCATTCAATCACTATCTTATAAGACGCGTGCTGACATCAGTTTTGATGACACTCCAGACTACATCATCTTCACCCCCTCCCTTAGAGTGCATGCATTGTACTTCGCACCTCCAGGACTAACTTTGGCTAACTAGTTTCCCTAAATAAATTTATAAATGTTTCCCTGCTCACACCCCAACAGCACATCAAATAACCACATTCCTCCATTCATTCCTATCTAACAAACCTGTAATACTTTTTGTTTTTTTTTTAACACGTCAGCCATTTCCCACTGAGGCAGGGTGACCCAAAAAAAAAAAAAAAAAATTCATTATCATTCAACACTTTCACCATCACTCATACATAATCACTGTCTTTGCAGTGGCACTCAGATATGACAGTTTAGAAGTCCCTCCAAACTGCCAGTATCTCAAACCCCCTCCTTTAAAGCGCTGGCAGTGTACTTCCCATTTCCAGGACTCAAGTCCAGCTAACTGGTTTCCCTGAATCCCTACACAAAATATTACCCTGCTCACACTCCAACAGCTCCTCAGGTCCCAAAAACCATACTTCTCCATTCACTCCTAACATGCTCATGTATGCTTGCTGGAAGTTCAAGCCTCTTGCCCACAAAACCTTCTTTACCCCTCCTCCCTCTAACCTTTTCGAGAGCATCCCCTACCCCGCCTTCCTTCCCCTACAGATTTATACGCTCTCCAAGTCATTCTACCTTGTTCCATTCTTTCTAAATGACAAAACCACCTCAACAACCCCTCTTCCACCCTGTAATACTTTTAGTAACTTCACACCTCCTCCTAATTTCCACACATCGAATTCTCTGCATAATACAGTATTTACACCACACATTACCCTTATACATGACATCTCCAGCTGCCTCCTCGCTGCAGCATTTATAACCCAGACTTTACACCCATACAAGTGTGTTAGTACCACTATACTTTCGTACATTCCCTTCTTTGCCTCCATGGATATCGTTTTTTTGTTTCAACAGATACCTCAGCGCACCACTCACCTTTTTTCCTTCGTCACTTCTATGGTTAGCCACATCTTTCATAAACCCATCTGCTGACAAGTCAACTCCCAAATATCTGAAAACATTCACTTCTTGCTTACTCCCTCTCTCCAAAGTGACATCCAATTTTTCTTTAACTAAATTGTTTGATATCCTCATCACCTTACTCTTATCTATGTTTACTTTCAACTTTCTTCCTTTACACACCCTCCAAAACTCATCCACTAACTTTTGCAACTTTTCTTTAGAATCCCAAAACCACAGTATCATCAGCAAAAAGTAACTGTCAACTCCCATTTTGTATTTGAATCCCCATAATTTAATCCCATCCCTGTCCCCAACACCCTAGCATTTACTTCTTTTACAACCCCATCTATAAATATATTAAACAACCATGGTGACATTACACATTCCTGTCTAAGACCTACTTTTACCGGGAAGTAATCTCCCTCTCTCCTACACACCCTACCATGAGCCTCACTACCCTCATAAAAACTCTTTACAGCATTTAGTAGCTTATTACCTATTCCATACACCTGCAACATCTGCCACATTGCTCCCCTATCCACTATCATATGCCTTTTCTAAATCCATAAATGCAATGAAAACTTCCCTACCTTTATCTAAATACTGTTTACATATATGCTGCAATGTAAACACTTGATCTACACATCCCCTGCCCTCTTTAAAGCCTCCTTGCTCATCTGCAATCCTACTCTGTCTTACCTCTAATTCTTTCAATAATAACCCTACTGTACACTTTACCTGGTATACTCTGTAAAAATTATAGGGGAATAAGTTTACTATCTCTTTTGTCCCCCTTCCCTTTATATAAACTAAACTATACATGCTCTCTGCCAATCCCTAAGTACCTTCCCCTCTTTCATACATTTATTAAACAAAAACACCAACCACTCCAACACTATCCCCCTGCTTTTAATATTTCTGTCATGATCCTGTCAGTTCCAGCTGCTTTATCCCCTTTTATTCTGCATAATCCCTCATGCACCTCCCCCACACTCACATCCTGCTCTTCTTCACTCCTAAAAGATGTTATACCTCCCTGGCCAGTGCATGAAATTACTGCCTCCCTTTCTTCATTGACATTTAAAAGTTCCTCAAAATATTCCTGCCATCTACCCAATACATCCAGTTCCCCATCAACTAACTCCCTTACTCTGTTTTTAACTGACAAATCCATGCATTCCCTAGGCTTTAACTTTTTTTTATCTCGCTCCAATTTTTTTTTCTTATTTTCAGCAAAATATTTTAAAAATGCATCTCCCACTATCATTTGCTCTCCTTTTGCACTCTCTCACCACTCTCTTCACCTTTCTTTTACTCTCCATATACTCTGCCCTTCTTATATCACTTCTGCTTTGTAAAAACCTCTCATAAGCTACCTTTATCTCTTTTACCACACCCTTTACTTCATCTTTCCACCAATCACTCCTCTTTCCTCCTGCACCCACTTTCCTATAACCACAAACTTCTGCCCGACATTCTAATACTGCATTTTTAAAACTATCCCATCCCTCTTCAACCCCCCTTTCCCCCACTACATAATACAATTAACATAATAAGATGACACCTACTTAAGAGCAGCACATACAAAGGCCTTAAAATGGGAATCATAGCTTCTCTTAAGAGGTGTATGTGAGGAAATTATACTTCCAATAACTCCTAATAGAGTTTGTTTGTTAGTCATAGCTGATCCTCCAGTAATCTCCAAGTTGAAACTCTGAGGAGAGAGAGAGAAAAAAAAATTGGCACTCTATGGAACCATTCATTTTTAATCCATACTTCATACTTAGGCTTTTCCCATGCAAATTCTTAAGTACACTCTCTTAGTATTTCTTAGCTTAAATTATACCAATTTCAAACGAAAAAATATGCATTATTCTCAAGCAAACTGTACCTGTTGGTTGTGGGTATTTAACATTTAAAAGGCATAAATAAAATTTTTAATGGCATGTTTTGCTAGCTCATATTCCTCACCACTTTGAATGAGGATAAATATACAAATACACATACAAAATTAGCTTACCTGACTAAGTCTTCTAGCTGGTGTTCGATTGTACTGGTCTCCCTTCTTGAGGTGATAATATTTAAGGATGAGGTCCCATGCATGCATGAGCTTTGTGGGTTTCTGTGACTGCTGAGGGAAACATGAGAGAAATGGTACCAAACTCTGGCTCTGTCCAACCTGTGTAATAATAGAGGGGGAAAATTAAAAGTCCTTATATGATTTTCTTGACTGATTAGGTTATTAGAATTTTTTATATAAATTTATAATAACTACATTATGAGGGGTTCAGAGGGCCTGTGTTCTGAGAAAACACTTAAAGTGCTAAAGCAAGCCAGAGTAAAAGGAAATGTACTGTATTAGCACGAATATTCTGGGAATACTTTAACAACTCCCCATAAAAAAATGAAGCTTCTGGATGGGTCAAGTGCAGGTAGTGTGAATGAGCTGAACAATGACAATGTAAGTGGATTGCATACAGGGGTTCCAAAATCGAGACGACGGGACTATTTCATGTCGGGTCACTTCCATTACAAAAAGTAATTACAGTACATTCATGTACCATGTCGGCTCTAACTTAACTAAAAGATGTGACAGGCATTATGGCTAAGAACATCAATATTTTATTTAGATTTGTTCTTTATCTAGTTGAAAAGAACAAATAACAGTATTGTATTTTGGGACTTATCAGAAAATTTGATCTACAAAGCAACAGCAAAAGTCATTAAAAGTTCCAAAAAACAGTTATTCCACAATTCTTTACCAAAATACAGGTCTCCCTCCACATGCGCGAGGGTTAGGGGATGAAGAACCTCGTGAATGTTGAAAAATCGCGAATGTTTGGTGCCCAAATATATTGTAGGGAAATACAATAATAGCATTTACTTAGCCTAACAATACTGCTTCCTTAACCTATTGAACCATGAACAATCATAAAATATACGAAAACACCATAAAATATTGTACTACTGCCAGCCCTTTGGTGAAGAAGGCGAGAAAGACTATAGAATTCAAGGAAGAATTCGTAGTAGAGTACCAAAGTGGAGGAGGAAGAGAGAGGGGAGAATTTCCCTTCTTCATCGATTCAGCGATTCTACGATATGTATGATACTAAAGCAACACGAGCTGATAAAGGCTATAGCGCCAGCCAGCAATAAAGTGTAGCATTAACAGTGTAGAGAGTAAGTTAAGTGATTAATCTATAGAAAAAGGACAGCACGACCCTAACTCCTCCAATGTTGTTGGAGTTATATAGGGCGACTGACAACACTGCCATCTCTAGTCTCTACCACCTCCACCACCACTATGTATGGCTTATGTCTCAGTGGCCCTTATACACCCAACAACACGAACAAAACAATACAGGTCTCCCTCAACATTTGCGAGGGTTAGGGGATCAAGAGCCTCACGAATGTTGAAAAACCGTGAATGTTTGGTGCCCCAACATATTGTAGGGAATTATATTACAATACTGCTTCCTTAACTTGTTGAACCATGAATAATCATAAAATACATGAAAACGTCATAAATTGTACTAAATATATACATGTTATGCTTTAATAACGTATGTTATTTAATAACATGTATGTTAATAACATGTATGTTAATAACATGTATGTTATTAAATACCACCGACTCCACCACTGCCTCCACCAATACCTCCACCACTGCGAGTCCCTACTACCCTCCCACCGAACCCCGCAACTGGCAGCCATCCCTCCCACCACTCGGTGTGGTGAGTGTTTTGTTTGTTCATTATTTGCTATTAAACTACAGAATAAATAATGTAAACCCATTCATGACTGCATATTGGAATGGCTATTAGGAAAGGTATTAGACGGTGACATCATGTGTTTACTCTTGAACACTGCAAAGAATCGAACATTTCTGCTATTGCTAATAATAACAATAGTAATGATAATAATAATAATAATAATAATAATAATAATAAATATGATATAATTGAAGAAGGAAATTGTACAAAAATACGAGGGAGTGGTTAACACATCGTCAGTGTGACTTTGTTTATGCTGGAGTGAACATTAGTCTCCCTGCTCTTCCAAACATTTCACAATAATTCAGCGGTTGAGGCAGTGGTATTTAATAACATATATGTTATAAATAATAATAGTACATGTTATTATTAATAACATGTATTATTATTAACATTTTTTTTTTTTTAACAAGTCGGCCGTCTCCCACCGAGGCAGGGTGACCCAAAAAAGAAAGAAAATCCCCAAAAAGAAAATACTTTCATCATTCAACACTTTCACCACACTCGCACATTATCACTGTTTTTGCAGAGGTGCTCAGAATACAACAGTTTAGAAGCATACACATATAAAGATAGACAACATATCCCTCCAAACTGGAGTTAATAAAAGCATTAGTCAGAGGGCAGAAGAGGGGTTGTTGAGGTGGTTTAGTCATTTAGAGAGAATGGATCAAAGTAGAATGACATGGAAAGCATATAAATCTATAGGGGAAGGAAGGAGGGGTAGGGGTCGTCCTCGAAAGGGTTGGAAAGAGGGGGTAAAGGAGGTTTTGTGGGCGAGGGGCTTGGATTTCCAGCAAGCGTGCATGAGCGTGTTAGATAGGAGTGAATGGAGACGAATGATACTTGGGACCTGACCATCTGTTGGAGTGTGAGCAGGGTAATATTTAGTGAAGAGATTCAGGGAAACCGGTTATTTTAATATAGTCGGACTTGAGTCCTGGAAATGGGAAGTACAGTGGACCCCCGCATAACGATCACCTCCGAATGCAACCAATTATGTAAGTGTATTTATGCAAGTCCATTTGCACGTGTATGTTTGGGGGTCTGAAATGGACTAATCTACTTCACAATATTCCTTATGGGAACAAATTCGGTAAGTACTGGCACCTGAACATACTTCTGGAGTGAAAAAATATCGTTAACCGGGGGTCCACTGTACATTCATCATTCAACACTTTCACCACACTCACACATTATCACTGCTTTTGCAGAGGTGCTCAGAATACAACAGTTTAGAAGCATATATGTATAAAGATACACAACATATCCCTCCAAACTGCCAATATCCCACACCCCTCCTTTAAAGTTCAGGCATTGTACAGTGGACCCCCGGTTAACGATATTTTTTCACTCCAGAAGTATGTTCAGGTGCCAGTACTGACCGAATTTGTTCCCATAAGGAATATTGTGAAGTAGATTAGTCCATTTCAGACCCCCAAACATACACGTACAAACGCACTTACATAAATACACTTACATAATTGGTCGCATTCGGAGGTAATCGTTATGCGGGGGTCCACTGTATTTTCTTTTTGGGGATTTTCTTTCTTTTTTGGGTCACCCTGCCTCGGTGGGAGACGGCCGACTTGTTGAAAAAAAAAAAAATGTTATAAATAATAATAGTAAATATTATTAATAACATGTATTATTATTAACATGTATGTTATTAAATACCATTGCCTCAATCACTGCCTCTACCACTCCAGTCACACTCAGTCTACAAGCACCAAACACAATGAATTATTGTGAAATGTTTGGAAGAGCAGGGAGACTAATGTTCACTCCAGCATAAACAAAGTCACACTGACGATGTGTCAACCACTCCCTCGTATTTTTGTACAATTTTCTTCTTCAATTATATCATTTATTATTATTATTATTATTACTATTGTTATTATTAGCTGTAGCAGAAATGTTTAATTCTTTGCAGTGTTCAAGAGTAAACACATGATGTCACTGTCCAATACCTGTCTAAATAGCCATTCCAATATGCAGTCATGAATGGGTTTACATTATTTATTCTGTAGTTTAATAGCAAATAATAAACAAACAAAACACTCACCACACTGAGTGGTGGGAGGGCTGGCTGCCAGTTGCGGGGGTCAGAGGGAGGGTAGTAGGGACTCGCAGGTGGCGGGAAACTTAAATATGATTTGGCAGCTGGGAATTTGGTGGCTGGGAATTTGGCGGTTGGGAATTCGCGAATGTGTGAAGCCCGTGAAAGCTGAAAATGTGAATGTTGAGGGAGACCTGTACTTGTGACATACTTAACCCTTTGACTGTCGCAACCCCCAATCCTGAGGTGTCTCCTGGTGTCGCAAAATTTAAAAAAAAAAAAAAAATATTTTTTCTTACGAAATGATAGAGAATCTTTTCCCGATTGTAAAGACACCAAAAAAATGAAATTTGATGGAAAACTGACGGAATTACGCTCTCGCGAAGTTAGCGACCTCGGCGATATTTACAAATCGGCGATTTCACCCACTTTGAGCCCTATTTTTGGCTAATTCCTTTATTCCAGTCAACCAAACTCATAGCTATTTCTTCAGTACTCCATTTTTTCCATCGATTGAGTACAAGAAACTGCCCATTTACCGATTTCAACTACCCAATAACATGGTCAGAAATTTGCAATTTGGCCAATTTCACAAAAATTAAAAAATATGACAATTTCAAAATAAGGACCAGAATGAACAATACAGACATTCCTGGCTCTAAAATAACATTTTCTTTGTTCATCAGTCATGTCTCCAGGCCCCTGTGATATTACTCTTGCTTTTTATTTTGAAATTTTATTCAAACTAAAAATAGAAGATTTACTGTTATGCAGACTACTGCAATACTGTAATAATTGTAAAAATTACATCAGCCCATTCATGACTGCATATTAGAATGGCTATTTGAACATTTATTGGACAATGACATCATTTGTTTACTTTTGAACATCGGGAAAAATCAAACATTTCCCGTAGTTTGTGCTCCATTTCCAGGTTCTTTTTATAATAAAATTAATCAAAATCACCTCTATTTCTATAATATCGTTTCCATTCTATCAAATGAGACCAAGAAAACGAGAATACAACCACAAATACTATACGAAAATAGACCACAAAGTCGGCATTTTAATTAAAAAAAAACGGTCGGAGTTTTTTTTCTCATTATGCACTGCGTGCTCTAGGATTTTTTTAATTGGTGCACACTGACCACACAGACCCATTCTCTCACATGTGGGCCTACCAGCTTTCTCCTGCCTGATTTGAAGCTGCTAGAATTTATGAGTATATATACGTCAAACACGGTACCTCGTAAACGTATATACGTATACGGCCGCGACAGTCAAAGGGTTAATGACGTATTTTATTCATTCTAGAGTATTTGTCATGTTTCTATGTTATTAATATTGTTTATTATGTCATATTAGATGAATTGTGATAGATAAATAAGCCGTAGAATTGATATTAGCGTCATATTGAAGGACTATCTTGTCCTATTCCAAACAAACTGTCACCGCCAAAATTCCTAACATATGTAATGACGTATTTTAAATATGATTGGGTGGCTGGGAATTCGCGAATGTTCGAATCTCGCGAAAATGGAAAACGTGAATGTTGAGGTAGACCTGTAATATGAACCCACTACTGTGTATTAGATGCATACTAAGGTTCTTAGTGCTAGAGAAGTTGTTTATGGTACTTAAGGCAGTTTTCATAACAGTCAAGGTAAGACATACAAAATATGTAATCTGATAAAAAGTTTCCTTTTTATGAGCTGTAAATCAGCAAGGTTTCAAAAGTTGAATTATGTAATGCTGAACAAGGAAAGTCTTAAAACATTTAAAAGAATTAAAGATACCAGAGCTTTATTATAAAAATAGAAGAATAAAAATGTATATTAATCATTAGTGGAAACTTAAATACCATATATTACATAAGCTATAAATTCCAACTTACAGGCATCAGTCCATGTTGTATAAGATCTCTAAGTACAGGAGAGAGGTGCTTGCGGACAGCTACTGTTAGCTCTTCATTACCAGCCATAATGGGCATCTCTTCGGAGTCACTAGTGTAGTCACTGTCAGCAGGAGTTTCTGGTCCTACTAATTCTAGTATACTATTGATTGCAACCTCTAGAGAGGCTCGCAAGTCTCTACAGAAAGGAGAAAATAAAATAAAAATGCGATATTTTTTTAATCTCATTCACACTATAAAGTTGGCCAAAAGTGCTTCACTCTCACCTTTAACCAGCATATCTAAAAACTCCACTTTATTAATTTCATCACAAGTTTCTTTCTCTTTAAAACAGATTTTATAACTCTGCTTAAAATCCATCAAATGCTATAACAATATCATAAGCTACGATAATGTGAATAAAGGAATAATCATAATCATAGGTGTGGGGAGATTCATCATACATGTATATGCAACCAGAGAAAAGTGAAAGTTCGGCAAAACAAAAATCAGGTCTGCAACAACTAGATATGGTGGCTACCATATTTTACAATAATTCCTGCAGCTTTTCTAATGATCTATTAACCCTTTCAGGGTCCTAAGGCCAAATCTCAGAGTGACAGCCAGGGTCCAAGAATTTAAAAAAAAAAAAAAAAAAAAAAAATAAATAAATAAATGTTATTTTTCTTATAAAATTGTAGTGAATCTTTATCTGAAGGTAATAAAGCAAAAAGTACAAAATTTGATGGAAAATTTACGAAATTATGCTCTCGCAAATTTTGATGTGTCAGCAATATTTACGCACCAGTGATTTTGCCAACTTTGACTCCCATTTTAGGCCAGTTACATTATTCCAGTCAACCATATTCTTATCTACTTCACTAGAATTACTTCTATTTCATCAACTGAGCACAAGAAATCACCCAGTCAACTGTTTCAACTACCCAATAGTGATCAGAAATTTGGCCAATTTAACACAAAGTTCAAAATATTTCAATTTCAAAATAGGGTCCAGAATAAACAATACAGACATTCCTGGCACGAAACTAACATTTCCTCTGTTCATTACTTACATTTTCAGGCTTTACAAATGAATTCCATTTTGATTTTTTATTCACATAATGAATTTTTATTCACACCAAAAATAGAAGACTTACAGTTATGCAATGTTGTAATAACTGTATAAATAATATCAGCACATTTGTGAATGTATACAAAACCCACCAGCTGATGCGTATTAGACTCGTGACGACATTTGTTTGCTCTTTTCAGGACTAAAACCAATCAAAATCATTTCTATTTCTGTAATATATACAGTGGACCCCCGCTTAACGATCACCTCCCAATGCGACCAATTATGTAAGTGTATTTATGTAAGTGCGTTTGTACGTGTATGTTTGGGGGTTTGAAATGGACTAATCTACTTCACAATATTCCTTATGGGAACAAATTCAGTCTGTACTAGCACCTGAACATACTTCTGGAATGAAAAAATATCGTTAACTGGGGGTCCACTGTATTCCATTCTATCAAATGAAACCAAGAAATCCCGAATACAACTGTAAAAAACTTAAGAAAAAGCACCGCAAAGTCACTGTTTTAATCCAAAATTACGGTCGCAGTTTTTTTTCTCTCATTATGCACCTTGTGCTGCAGGATTTGTTTGATGTGGTGCACACTTACCACATAGATGTGTTCTCTCATATCTAGGCCCAAATTTACCGCTCATAGGTTATCTGAGTGAGCTGAGCTCATGGTGTAGATCTACAGTTTGGACCCTGGCTTCAAAGCCGTAGATCTATGGCATAGGCTCTGAAAGGGTTAATAAAGACATTTTACTGTACAGTACTCCAAAAGATCACTTACCCATAATGGTTTCCTCGGGGTGTTTTCTTCAGTGTATTCTTCCGAAATCTGTTCCTGCCAGCTCCACATCCAAATGACAGCATACTCATGAGTGTTGCTGCTCGTTTTATGATATTTTCAGTCTCCTTTCTTAGCTAGGAAGTACGAGAATCTGGTTACTCGGGGAAAGCACTGATCAGTTTTGTTTTTTGTTTTTTTAACCCTTAAACGGTCCAAAGAGATTGACATTCAAATTTGTAGTGCTACAAAAGTAGATCTACTTTTTTTTACATATTTTCAAATATAACAAAAAAAAATGTAGATAAAAGTTTTTTACACGTTTTCAAATGTAAAACAAAAAAGAAGATCTACAATTTTTTACATACTTTCAGATGTTGAAAAAACGTATATATACGTTTGGACCATTTAAGGGTTAAACAATGGCCATCTCCTGCCAAGGCAGGGCAACTCAGGATAACACGTTCACCATCATTCAAACTGCCATCTTTCCAGAAGTGTGCTGACATCCAAACCAGATTACCCTCCAACTGCGACATCCTCACCCCTCGGAATAAAGTTGCAGAACTGTTGCATATGTGTCTTACCTACCAACCTGTCGGTATTGTATACCATTTGATATTCATCCTCACCCCTCTTTTAAGAGTGCAGGCACTGCCACTTCCCACTTCCAGGACTTGTCCAGCTAACCAGTTTCCCCTGAATCCCTTCATAAAGGTTACCTTTCTCACACTCCAACAGCAAATCCATTAAATCCACTTTTCTTCATCCACTATCTAAAATGCTCACACAAGCCTGCTGGATGCTCAAGCCCCTAAAAATTCAAAACCTCCCCCCCCCCCCTTTTTTTTTACTCCCTCCCTCAAACTATTCCTGGGATGACCCCTTCCCCTCCAACCTTTCACCTCAGATTTACAGTAGCTAATTACATTAATTGTTTAGAGTAAGCTAATGTTGCCCATGCTGACTTACATCATTTAAGAGATTTTGTTTTGGTTTGGCTTCAAAGTTGGCATTTCTTAGAGGAAGATTTGAACAAGTTTAGGGCTGTGTATGTTCTAATTTTCCTTGTTTATTGAAAAAAAATTGGGATATCAGTGTCCACGTGATAACCTGAGAATAACAAATATGACCTCACTTTAAATCTTCAACGCTAATACTTAACCATTAAACGGTCCAAATAGATCGATGTTCAAATCCGTAGTGCTCCAAAAGTAGATCTATGGTTTTTTTTTACATATTTTCAAATATAAAAAAAAAAATGTAGATAAAAGTTTTTTTTTACACATTTTCAAATGTAAAAAAAAAAAAAGATGATGTACATTTTTTTACATACTTTCAAATGTTGAAAAAACGTATATATACGTTTGGACTGTTTAAGGGTTATCCACGTTACAAGCTTATGCTGCACTCTGCACTAACATTTTCACATGCATTGATGTACAGGGTCCAGGGTTGTGCAATACAGGGGACACCTTTCTCTGGTCATGCAGTAACAGCAATGCATCTAGCTCTTCCTTAAGAATGTCAGTATTAAGCAGATTAGAGCAATTTTTAAGATATGTAGCCAAAATTACACACTTTAATAATTTGGACACACAAAATTTCACATTACATGTGGCTCTAGCATTCACCTAACCTCGAGGAACCCATCTCCCACAAATTACAAGGTTCAACTGCATTGTACTCCCCACCTCCACAGTTAGTCTGGTAAACTGCATAGTTGATAAAAGAACAAACTGGCGATTACATTGGCAGTTTATCCAATAACAAACCTGCTCTTGATCTGCTGTTGGTCTTTCGCTCTTCTTTCTTTGAACTCCTGCCTTGCCCCACTTGCTGCCTGGCTCTTGAGGTCTGCCATCCCCAGGTGGTCTGGGTTCTTTGCCTTTGCAGTGGCATGGTGCCTTGGGTCCTTTTACCTTGCTAACTGTTCCTTCACCTACAAACAGGGCAAAAGTAGAATCATTATGAATCAGTTATAGTATAAAAGGAGATAGTAAGGGCTATTTACAGTATTCTGTAATTCAGATAAGAAAGGGATACACGAGAATGATAGTCTCTTGCTAAATGGGTTAGCGAGACTTATGAAATTACGGTGTCCAATTATACTGGCTTTCTTGCAGTAGATAAGTCCTTTACAATTTTCACCAATTAATTTTTCTACAGGTCCATATTTTATAAGTATATTTTACTATTTCCTAGGTAGTAGGTTGGTAGACAGCAACCGCCCAGGGAGGTACTACCGTCCTGCCAAGTGAGTGTAAAACGAAAGCCTGTAATTGTTTTACATGATGGTAGGATTGCTGGTGTCCATTTTCTGTCTCGTAAACATGCAAGATTTCAGGTACGTCTTGCTACTTCTTACACTTAGGTCACACTACACATACATGTACAAGCATATATATATATGTACACACCCCTCTGGGTTTTCTTCTATTTTCTTACTAGTTCTTGTTCTTGTTTATTTCCTGTTCTCTCCATGGGGAAGTGGAACAGAATTCTTCCTCCGTAAGCCATGCGTGTTGTAAGAGGCAACTAAAATGCCGGGAGCAAGGGGCTAGTAACCCCTTCTCCTTTATATATTACTAAGTGTAAAAGGAGAAGCTTTCGTTTTTCCTTTGGGCCACCCCGCCTCAGTGGGATACGGCCGGTGTGTTGAAAGAAAGAAAGAAAGATTTTACTATTTAAGAGGATTTAAAATGCTTCAAGCACAAATAACAGTGTAGTAAGGAAATAAGTGTCACATACTCATGATGGATAATAGGACAAAATAACCATAATAATGATACACAACATTAGTTTAAGGATTTCTTAGCATCAAGAACAAGAGAATGAGAGGCCACAGCTATAAAATTATAAAAAAAAACAGTGCAAAAATACTACAATTTTTTCCATGGTCTATAGAGCATTTATACAAATTAGAAAAAAAACTTAATTTGTGCAAATTACTTACCAGAAGGAAGGAAATATTTACTATGTTAAATATAACATTTCCAAAAGAAAGTATTTACCATTTTAATACATTAATTAATTGAGGTTGCTAAAAGTAATACTAAATGCAGTACCCTGGGTTTCTGTTATTTTATCATCAGAAGTAAAACAGACGACTGAAAAGGCAAAATTTGTTACCATTTTGCAAGAACGTAGAAAACTTGCATAATTTCTGTAACATCTGCTACATAGCTATGGCTCACCTTGAAGGAACTCTATGAACCTCTCCAGGTCTATAATCTGGGTCTGGAGCTGAGCTACCAACTGCTCCTTCATCTTGAGAGGATTCACCAGCTGCATGCAAAACACCAAAATTTCCACAGGTTAGAATGCCAGACAATGATTAGTCTACATCAGTCCAGGGATGCAATAGAATGAGTGAGTGAGTGAGTATTCAAGAGTAGCATGAAGGAGAGGAGATATCCTGTTACAATGTACAAAGAATTAGTCACACCACCGTTTTGAAAAGAAATTATGCAATGAAGAAGTAAGTGCAATACATATGGGGCATGAAATATATCTTATATTGCCCAAGCAAGATTAAACATCTTACAAAAATGCCATACATTACAAGACAGCATAGAGAGGATAGACCACCCAAGCAAGTAAGATACTGTACTAAGTTTTAGTCATCTACAGATGAAAACCTTGTGCTCTGTCCTTTTATAAGCACATGCAGTTACTTCATTACAGGGTTAGTTCCAAAATTACAATGAAACTACTGTTGTATTAAAAGTATAGAAATTCGATGCTTTATTTAGTTTTAATAATTCTCTTGGCTAGTCATTCCTAAGTATATACAGCTAAACAACCATATTCAGTTTTGTAAAAAAAAAAATAATTCTATGAATACCTCTCTGATGGCATGATCCACTTTGACTCTAAGGTCATCCACAGTCAACTTGTCAAGCTCATCAACGTTCAAGTTGAGTTTTCCTTTCAGTTGTTCTGCAAAATAATATTAGTTACACTAACCTTATTTATATGTATGGATACCTTTCTCAGAAAATGAGAGAAAGCATATAAAACAACCTAGCTTGGAAAGCATTTAAGAAGTAGCACAAATTTCTGAACATTATTTCAAACTATGGTATGTGCCTATAGGTCATTTCAAACTATGGTATGTGCCTATAGGTCCCTAATTTACACCTATGTAAACACCCTCTGATTACTACACTAAATACAATACAAAAACATTACAGAACTTTGGGAAAACTATCCCTTTACATAAGGCATACAGTACATTCCACACTTAGGATAATCCAACTTACAATGATCTGCACTTATGATCAGGGCACTTTGGAACCAATTAATGACTTACGAATGCCAATCTGGAGACACTATTATCATAAATATTGAAAAAAATTAACACCTGCTGTCTCCCACTGAGATGGCCTGTGTACTTTTCAGTCATTGTTCATTTTTACACCTCTGAAGAGTTCATGCTTATCTGGAAGAGATTGGTAAAGAACTGTAGATTCATTATTTACATTGCTGTACAGTACATTAATGGCTGATGGGCAATGAAGGACTGGGAATTGGTTGGCAAAGCAGGGAGGCATGTGGGATTCTTTGAACTCTGGAGATTGGCCCTAGGTAGTGGCCAAGAAAAAATGACCTGGGATGTAGATGAATGGTTGATAAATTAGACACATGTGCAACATTTGGGTATCTTTAACGAGGAAACGTTTTGCTACACAGTGGCTTCATCAGTCCATACAAAGGAGAATGGTGAAGAACAGGAGGATGGCTAGTGAGCCTGGGAGGGTGGGCTGGCTGCCAAAGCCTGGAGTGGTGGTGGTGGTGGTTCCAGCTCCTGATTAGTGGCCTAGGAGTTAGCACTGGCAGAGGTGGTTGGTAAACTTGTTAAGCAAGTGGGTGATAAAGAGTCAGGAGAGGAAAAGGTCCCTCCCTGGCTTCTGATTGGAAGCCAAGAAGGAAGGACAGGGATATGGTTATTTACCCTGAAGTTCTGTGGATTGTTAGAACCTGGGAAGGAGAGGCCCCACCCCAGCCATAGTACAAAAGGACAGGATGCAGGAAATGTGATACCCTCTCTCTATTCCTTTCCCTTTCTCGGCTAACTGTATTTGCCACAACTCTCACCCTACGTATGCAGTACCCTAATCAATCCTTCCCAACACACTAAACTCATATCTAATACTTACACTGTTATCACTGAAATGGATACCATATGTCTAGCGTGTTGTGTCAGATGTGATGGGAAAGACAGTGGGGGATTTGAATAAGAGGGAATGAGAAAGGGAGGAAAATAAAGAAACATGAGAAAGGGAATAAGAGGGAGGAAGGGATGAAACGAACTCATTTGAGTAATGTAACTGTTTTTAAGTTAAATATTACAATATGAAATTAGACATGGTACATTATAGCTTGGAGGTGCATTTCTAATTTTAACATAGATGTCAACAAGAAAACAGATTCCAAGCTCCAAAACAAACTATATTCAGGAATCCATCACCATGAGTGGGAGACCTGCTGTATTATTTATGCAATACATTATACAAGTTTATTAAAATTAAATAAAAGAAAGTGCATAGATTTCTTTCACCTATAATGACACGCTGTTTTTCCATAACTTTAGCTTGTGGAGGTCCACCTTCTCCTGTTTGGTACACATAGTTTTCTAGATCCTCCAGCTGCTGCTTTAGCTGCTCTATCAGCTCTTTCTGACGTGTAATGCCAATGCTGTCCACTACTCCCTCACTCTGCAAATATGGTAATATTAATATGTGTTACAATCAACAGTCATGCATTTTATTGGCACTGAAATCTTCAACTCTGGCATAAAATGAAGAGTTGTGCTTCTCCATCAATAATGACAAGCTACACTGTTGTAACAAATAATTTTTTACAACATTTGACAAAGTTTAGAAAATTTTATATTCCAATACTAAGGTTAAACATACCATTTACAGTATTTATGTAGCTACCAGCCATTCACCTGCTTATCTAGGTACTGATCAACTACTTCCTAATGATTTATGAAACTTGTGAACAAATTGAATTTGAGTTTCATGTAGGACTCAAATAGTACACTTCATCCATTCAATGTACTTAACTGAAGAGCCTTGATGTATTTAATACTGTGCCAGATAAGAGAATTTTAATTTTTACCACCCTTTCCTATTTCTGCAGAATAGGGAGGAAACTTTAAACAAACAAAACATACAGACCTAATGGTATATACATTTTTTTAAAGTATGGCTATCTCCTGCCAAGGCAGGATGACCCAAACATAAGCAGTCACCAATATTCACTTACTCACCGTCTTTCCAAAAGTGTGCCGACATCACAATCAGTTAACCACTCCAACTGCAACATCCCACACGCTTCCTGAGTGAAGGCACTGCCCCTCTCTCCTCTAGATAACCTGCTTCCTCGAATCTCTTCATATACATTACTGTGCTCACACTCCATCAGCACGTCAAGCCATTTAAACCACTTTTCTCCATTCACTCCAGTCTAAAATGCTCACATAAACCTGCTAGATGCTCAAACCCCTTTCCACTTTAAACCCAATTTACCCTCCACCTCTCTCCAATGCTTCCTCCTGGTACAATCCCTACCTCTTTCTTCTGCCCCAGATTCCTAAACCCTCTAAGCCATCCTACTCTACTCCATCCTCTTCACATGTTAAACCCACCTCAACAACCCCTTCTCAGTTTGTTGAATTACAAACTTTTCACACCACACACTGCTGTCAAAAATTACATCTCTGCCTTAAATGGCCTCCTCGTTGTACTGTGTCAAGCTCATGACTTGCACCTACATATAAGTGTTGGTACCACTACATGCTGATACATTTTCCTTGTTGCCTCCATAGATATGCAGTGGAACCTCAAATATCGAACTTTCTTCAGTCCAAACAAATTTATTCTCATCAGGAATAATGTAAATTAGATTAGTCCATTTCAGACCCTCAAAAATGCACTTATAAAAGCACTTACAAAAATACACTTACATAATTGGTTGAGTTGGGAGCAGTTCGATTTTTGAGGTTCCACTGTACTTGTTTCCAAAGATGCCTCGTCACAAAACTTTCCTCCCCATCCCCTTTGTCTATTCTATGGTTCATCCTTGCCCATCTACCAACACAGTCCATTCCTAGTTATCTGATTACAGTTCCTCCATACTCTGTCCCTCTACTCTGATACCCAATCTTTATATGCCTGCTGGTATACTCTTACTCTAATCGCCATGCTATTTTTTATGTTCGCTTTTAATTTCCTTCCCACCTCTCAACACTCTAGCAGTCACTTTTACAACCCCTGTCTAAAAATATATAAAAATGTTAAACAACCATAATGACATCATACATCCCTGTCTAATTCTTAATTTTACTGGGAAATAGTCCCCCCTCTTTTTTTATATTCCCTAGCCTGTTATTGAAGATATTAAGAATTGCACTTTCCCATTTTAACAGCCTTTTAAACACAGTACAGATATTCCCTGCTTCATGATGGATGCATTCCACAAAAATGTATTAAATCTGTTTTACATGCACAGGAGGGCCCCACTTTATGGCACTTTACTAATAGGGACATTTCAAATCATAACCAAAAACTTCGTTTATACAGCTGATTCGCTATTACGGCGTCCGTGCACCACTTTGTTCACATCCTTCATGAACTCCAAGTCTCTTGATTATGTCTAAAAACATTCCAGTGTTTCAAGTGTTTTTAAAGTTATTGTGTACACCTACCATCCAACTTACGAACGAGCTTGGTTCCGACTAACCGATCGTAAGTCAAAATGGACGTAAGTTGAACCTTACTACTGAATATCAGCATCACATTAAGTAATGATTTTATTTTATTGTTTTATTTTGGTATTTCATTTTTTACTTTACTTTTTATGCTGTTAGTGCTGTATTTTATACTACAGTGGACCCCCGCATAACGATCACCTCCGAATGCGACCAATTATGTAAGTGTATTTATGTAAGTGCGTTTGTACATGTATGTTTGGGGGTCTGAAATGGACTAATCTACTTCACAATATTCCTTATGGGAACAAATTCGGTCAGTACTGGCACCTGAACATACTTCTGGAGTGAAAAAATATCGTTAACCGGGGGTCCACTGTATAAGGTTTAGGAGAAACACTGTGTACAACACAAACAGTTTTTTATTTCCTGAACTTTTGCATACAAAATATGGTCGTAAGTCGAGTGGTCATATGTCAAGCAGGTCTTAAGTCAGATGGTAAGTGTATTTTATATATACTCTGTGTTACAATGACATCTAAGGGTAGCTGTGATAAAAAGAAGAGTGTAAAGTAAGAAATGATTAAACTCAGTGAATAAGGTACGTCTATGGCTGAGATAGGACCAAGATAGCACCGATAATTGTACTTATGTGTACCTGTACCTAAATAACCCTTATGGATTTAGTGCTTAGCAGGTACACACTAGTTGGCACTGTTACAAAGAAGGAGCAACTACACCTGGCATGGGAGTAGCTAAGAGTGCTTCACAAGTGTTGAATTTGCAATAATAATATTAGCTGGGGCTCTTAACCTTTTCATTGTCGGTCCCGTAATATTACAGCTTGAGAGCCAATGTCAGTCCCGTAATACTATGCCAAAATTCTAGCTCCTTCAAATCTGATGGAAGAAAGCTGGTAGGCCTACATATGAAAGAATGGGTCTGCATGGTCAGTGTGCGCAGTATAAAAAAAAATCCTGCAACACGCAGTGTATAATGAGAATAAAAAAACTGACCATGTTTTTGGTTTAACCCTTTCAGGGTTGGTGTTGTACTAGTACGGCTTGCAAGCCAGGGTTGGTGCAGTACTAGTATGCCTAAATTCTAGCGCCTTCAAATCTAGCCAGAGAAAGCTGGTAGGCCTATATATGAAAGAATAGGTCTGCTTGGTCAGTGTGCACAGTATAAAAAAATCCTGCAGCACACAGTGCATAACGAGAAAAAAAAACTCCGACAGTGTTTTTCTTTTAAAACAGCGACTTTGCAGTGTATTTTCATATGGTACGTATTTATGGATTTATTCCATTTTTCTTGGTCTCATTTTATAGAATGGAAGACATATTACAGAAATTGAGATGATTTTGATTGGTTCCACAATGAAAAGTACCTTGAAATTGAGCTCAAAGTAGCAGAAATGTTCAATTTTTGCCAATGTTCAAAAGTACACAAATACGTAATGAATACACATCAACTGGTGAGTCTAATATTCTTTCACAAGTGCGCTGATATTATTTATACCATTTTTACACTAATGCAGTAGTCTGCATAACAGTAAATCTTCTATTTTTTGTGAGAATAAAAGTTCAAAGTGGAAGGCAAAAGAAATGTAAGAGGGGCCTGGATAGTTGAAATCGGTAATTGGCTGTTTTTTTTTACTCATTTGATAAAACAAATGGAGTTCTAACGAAATAGCTATGATTTTTGTCGACTGGTACATTAAAATTGGCCGAAAATAGGGCTCAAAGTAAACGAAATTGCCAGTGCGTAAACATCGTCAAGACTGCTAACTTCGCGAGAGCATAATTCTGTAAGTTTTCCATCAAATTTCATACTTTTGGTGTCATTATGATCGGGAAAAGTTTCTCTATCATAAGAAAAAAATAATTTTATTTTTTTTGGAAAAAATTTCGACCCTGAGAACAAGTTTATGGAGGGCCTCTCGACCCTGAAAGGGTTAAAATAGCGACTTTGCAGTATATTTTTGTATGGTATTTATGGTTGTATTTCTGTTTTCTTGGTCTCACTTGATAGAATGGAAGATATATTACAGAAATGAGGATGGTTTTGATTGCTTTAATGATGAAAAGTACCTTGAAATTGAGCTCAAAATAGCAGAAATGTTCGAATTTAGCCAATGTTCAAGAGTAAACAAATTACGTCACTGTCCAATTCGTGTCCAACCAGCCAGTCTAATACGCAGTCATGAATGGGTTGACACTATTTATACAATTAATATAATGCAGTAGTCTGCATAACAGTAAACCTTCTATATTTTGTGAGAATAAAAATTCAAAATGGAAAGTAAGAGTAATATAAGAGGGGCCTGGAGACATGACTAATGAACAGAGAAAATATTATTTTAGTGCCAGGAATGTCTTCCTTGTTTATTCTGGACCCTATTTTGCAATTGGCATCTTTTGAAATGTGTGAAATTGGCCAAATTGCCAATTCCTGACCACTTTATTGGGTAGTTGAAATTGGTAAATGGGCAGTTTCCTGAACTCAATCGACAGAACAAATGGAGTTCTAGTGAAACAGCTATGATTTTAGTTAACTGGAACAATGGAATTGGCTGAAAATAGGGCTCAAAGTATGCGAAATTGCCGATGCGTAAATATCGCCGAGATCTCTAACTTCATGAGAGCGTAATTTTGTAAGTTTTCCATCAAATTTCATACTTTTGGTGTCATTACCATGGGGAAAAGATTCTCTATCATTTCATAAGAAAATATATATAGATTTTTTTTTAATTTTTTGACACAGAGTGAGTTAACCCTTTCAGGGTTTCGGCCGTACTAGTACGGCTTACGCACCAGGGTTTTTGATGTACAGTGGTCATTCGCTTTTCATAGTTCTCGGCAATCGTAAAATTCGCCATCATAGGGGTATTTTTGTATAAACATGGACTCGCTTTTCATAGGTTGACTCGCGAGTCATAGTTCGTCCGGGATGCGTACCCACAGCGTGAGCCGTGGTGGCAGCCAGTCTGGCATTGTTTAC